ACCAAATCCTTATTGATTGATACAAGAGCTTTTATGCATACATAAAAAAAAAAAAAAAAAAAAAAAAAAAATTATATATGCCACATATATTTTTAATAAAAGAAAGACTTCAAGTGGCATTTCAAGTCAGTACTAAAATAATCAAGATGTTTTTTAAAAAAAGAATATAAATATTCTTTTGAAACATCATTCTATTGATCTTAAAGATAGAGTTCAACTACCACTCAGATAAATCTATAATTTATCACAAAAAAAATTGGCTACACTCAAGGAATATATTGATAAAAACTTATCTAAAAACTTCATATTCTATTTTAAATTTCTAATAGGAGATTCTATCTTATTTGTGAAGAAAAAAAATAGATCTTTGCAAATATATGTGGACTATCAAGGATTTAATAAAATCACCATTAAGAATAGATATCATCTACCTTTAATTTTAAGACTTCTAGATCAATTCAATGAACAAAGATCTATATAAAAATAAATCTATGATGAACATACAATTAGGCATACATTAAAAATTAGGAGATGAATGAAAGATTGGATTTTGAACTAAGTATGGGCATTTTGAATATAATCGCATGTCATTTGGATATATAAATATATTAGCTACTTTTCAGCATTTAATTAATGATGTCTTTTGTGAGTTTTTTTATAATTTTATCATTTATTACATAGAAAATATTTTAATCTATTCTAAGAACATAAAAGAACATGAACTTCATATTTGTCGCATGCTACAAAAACTTAGACATATAGGATTATACACCAAGATAATATATATATATATATATATATATATATATATATATATATATATGTATTTTATACTATTCAAATTGACTTCTTAGGATATATTATTTCAAATGATGGTCTTATGATGGATTCTAAGAAAGTCCAAACCATCATAAATTAGAAGATTTCAAAAAAAATTAGACATGTATAATGTTTTTTGGAATTTTCCAATTATTACTCGATTTTTATCAAGATTTTTTTTCAAATTGTAGCTCCTCTTATATGTCTAATATGTAAAGACAAACTTAAGTAGAAAAAAGAATCTAAAGCATTTTTTAAAGCCTTAAAGACAACATTTATTTTTACATCAATTTTATATCATGTTGACTTTTTCAAGGCATTATTTATGGAAATAGATGCATTAGACTTTAATATGGCTATAATTTTGTCACAAATCAAAGTAGATGATAAGTTCTATAAGATAGTTTTTTATTCTAATTTTTTTTTAATAGTCAAGATTAACTATGAAATCTATAATAAAAACTTCAGACAATTGTAGATCCATTTCAAGAATGGTGTCATTATCTAAAAGTTGCTTTTAATTTATTCATCATGTATACAAATCATAAGAACATTGAGTACTTTTTTTGAATTGTCACTAAGTCCATTGGAATATGTTTTTATTAAGATTTGATTTCAAGATCAGTTATTGATCCAAAAAATAACTAGATTTATTGAATGCCTTTTTTAGACATTTTTTTCATGTATTTAAAGAATGAAATGCAGCTTTTAATCAAAAAATAAATAATTTTCTTTAAGCCAGAGCATTTTCATCTTCAAGCAATGAAATTAACATTGATTGTTGATTGAATGTTTTTCAAGTAAGTTCAATTGAATATATCCTCTAATCTTCTTATTTATAATATTAAGAATAATTCTTTTAAATTTTATAAGACTTTTAAATTTGAATTTAAGAAGAATCTATTCTATTTTTAAAAATAATTATATATTTCTAAAAGCAAAGCAAAATTACATATTCTTCAAGCTTGTCACGACTTTTTGATGGTTGGAAATTTTTGATAAAATAAGATTTTGGAGCTAATATAAAGAGATTTTTGGTGGCTTCAAACATAAAAGGCAATTAAAGTCTTTGTACAATTATGTGACATTTATTGAAGATCAAAACTCCTTATCATCAACTTTATGAAATTTTTTAATCATTACCTATTTCAAAAAAATTATAATATTTTGTTTCTATGGATTTTATATTAGATCTTTGAATTTCATATTTATATGATTCTATATTTTTGATAGTAGATTATTTTATCAACATGGCATATTTTATATTATATACAAAATCTATTATATATAAAGAAATAGCTAAGCTTTTATTTGATAATACCTATTACAATCATAGATTTTTTAAGGATATTATATTAAATAAGAGGACCCAATTTGTATTAAGAATTTAAAGAATATTTTTTAAGATTTTAAAGGTAGACATAAAACTATCTTCTAACTTTTATCTTTAAATTGATAGACAGACGGAGTATATAAATTAAGTTTTGAAGTAGTATTCAAGGTATATCATCAACTACCAACAAGATGATTGGAAAAATATTTTTCCATTGGCAAAGTTTACTTATAATAATACTATACATTCTTATATATAATAAATATCTTTTTTTTTACTAATTATGGTTATCATTCATAACTTCATGCTTTTAACTTCTCAAAAATTGATGATCTTGTAGCAAAAGATTTAAAAAATTATTTATTTGAGCTACATACAACAATAAAGGCACAGCTAAAAGAAACTCAAGAATGACAAAAGATTAATATAAATACCTATTTCAAGGGAAATTTTAATTCTATATTGGCAATAAGGTATAGATACTTTGTTGTAATATCAAGATTAGCTATTCTAATGACAAGTTAGATTATCATAAGCTTGGACCATTTTCTATTTGTGAATAAGTCAATCTAGTTGCTTATTGATTATAACTATCAAAGTCTATGAAGAAGCAATAACATCATAGATATATATATATATATATATAAACCTTTGCCATAAGATAATATCAAATCTATCTATATTTATATTCTATTTAGTACTTTTTATTTAAATAAATATGTATGTTTATGATATTATCTTCTTTTTTAGAGACAAGTAATCAATAAGCAACTAAATTGACTTGTTCACAAATTGGTTGAATTATATGTGACATAAACCTCCCTTTTAGATCTATTCCCTATTTCACATGTCTCTCCTTAAGCCAAATAAGATAGTGAATATATTAAGAAGAAGACAAATACCACCTCCTGCTATAGAAGTGAATAATAATCAAGAGTTCAAGGTAGAAGGAGTCTTAGACTCAATGTAATACCAAAATAGATTGAATTATTTTGTTCATTGGCATTTTACCTTCTATCTTTATTTGTAATTTTTGTATATTTGTAATAATAAAAAGATGGAGAACGAACAACTAGTAGATTTAACTCAAGAGCTATTATTTATTGACTTATCAAATAAGACATTACAATTGTCACAACTTTCAAGACAACATAATCAAAATGAAGACCTTCAAAAACAACACCTTTTTTTTAAAATAGATGCCAAATTATAATCCGTTTGATATCACAATCTTAGGAAAAACTCTCAATGTTTAGTAATATTATTAGAAATAAAAACCAAGCTTGATGGTATATAAAATATTTCATTTAAACAAAGTTATAAAGAATTTAATAATGATTAAATAACATAGTGGTCTTTTTGCTTTAAAATGAGACATTATTAATAGCTAAGATAACTTATCAATAATCTTTGAAGAATAATAAGATCAAAGCATGGAACAAATATAATTTACTACATCTTAGACTTCTTCAACATATAGTCACTGCTTCTCAAAGAACTTATTGCTAGAAGAAGAGTGTAATGTTACAAATGTAAGTGATACTAATAGTTACTTAGATAAGAAGAGTTTGGTAGTAATATAAAAGTAAATAATTAATAAAACAACTTGTGAAAAATTTCTTAGAAGCTTTATAGATACAAATTTGACTTTATATGTATTTTTAGATGATAGATAGGTTAAAATTTTGGCCAATTAATTGGCCATATGCTGTATATGAAAGAAATTTGTCTTGTAGATTAGAGACTTGTCTTGCAAGTTGGACATGAGTCGGAAGTCTTATAGAATGTTGCCATGTAGTTCCTAGTTACATAGTATATATAGAAGCAAGAATGAAATCTTCTTCACTCTTACCAATACAATGTAAGAGTCCATGGCTTTTTTGTCTTTGACAATATCCATTCTAGTTCCTTCTTGAATACATATACTTATTCATTCATTTCTTGACATCTTTCTTTGAGACACATCTCACATGTTTATTTTCATTCTTTACATTCTTATTCTTAACAATTTTTAGCATAATTTTATGCAACAATTTTAGCATAAGTTTAGTTAAGAATATACAATTGTATATTCTTAACAACTTAGATATTGATAAAAGCAAAAAAATTAAATACATACAAAAATAGATAAATTTAAAGATCTGAAAGCACAATTAATTTGATATCTAGAAAGAAAAAAAAATTTAAAGATACAATCAAAGCAACTTGTCGGAAGTAACCATATAGATGCAAAATAGACGTATGGTTGCCAAAAAAAATCCTCACTTAAACAACCTCTGTTCCAGCAAATTTTATTAGGTGAACAAGAAGCATTACTAAAGGGGTATAAATTAAGCTTACATCCGTATATATGCACAAGAACATTCATTTGCCACTTGCATGATTTTCGGCCTATCGTTTTCATCCATTCCAAGTCCGTTGAAAATCTCGAGAGCGATGCCGACGCGAGCATGATTTGCACCAGGAAGCATCGCAACTGCCCTTCTCCTTCCCCCAATCGTGGAAGGAGAGCATGGCGAACAACAACAGAGGGGAAGGAATGCCGGGGGGGGGGGGGATGGGGAGGAGCGATGAGGGAACACCATGGGAACATGCGCACTGCAGTGCACGCCAGAACCACCACCACTCCATTCCAAAAAAATGCTTTTTCAGATGGCCGTGGATCGCAATCGCCTGCTTTCCCGCGGTAGCACCGCCCCCGCCAAACACACCAAATCCTGTTAAATTATCTGCATCACCCTCATCCTGGATTCCCGCAATCACAAAGTCCCCTCTCTCACACTCTCGCCATTGGGTACAGCTCAAGTGCACAGTAATTGCGGGTGATTATGACACACCCAGCGCTTCTTTGAAACTGCACTGTCTGATCTCCAAACGCGTTTCAAGCTCGGTAATCCCTAGCCATGACTGCCGACGACCTCTGCCATACCTGGACCAAGATCCGATCAAGGACCAGTCGCAGCTGCCTGAGTTGGCTGCTGGGTTTCCAACGGTGACTCTGTGTCATACTTAAGGAAGGAAGGTCGCCACGACACGCCCCCCGAGATTTGCCTCACGGTTTCCGAATCCTTTTCCAAGATGCAGTGCGCGCAGCTGTCGTTGAAGGATCGCGCTTGAAGGCGCGCACTGTCGAGACAGTATCAGGGAGACGGAGACGTCCATGGGGACGACGAGGGTCTGTCTGTCGGGTTGCAAGCCAAGCGTGGGTCAGTGGAGGTCGGATCTCGTCAAGGCACGGAGACGCAACTCAGGTGAACTGGAAGGGGAAGAGATGAGATGAGTAGCATGTGATCATCATTGTGGAGGTGACGCGTCTGACATCGTTCGACTGGTCCGTCTCAACTGGCACAGGGACTCCTGGCGATTCTGTTTCTGTGCAGGAGGTTTGCTCGTGGCATGTGGAGCGGTAGTTGATAGCGACCTGATGGGTTGCACTAGTCGTTGTGGTGGTGCTTCTCGAAATAAAGGCTCTTGATCTGTTGTTCTCCAAGAGGCCGTGTACCCACTGCAGCAGTGTTTTTGTGGCTCGGATAGTGATAGAGATGATAGGGGTTTTCTCGTAGAGAAGTGACCAACGTGTGGCTGTTTGCAGAGGAACTGGATATGCCCAGTTTGGTTTCCGAACATCAGCATCATTGCAAGAGTGGGTTTGGTTCTGTCAGACATTAGAGGCAGCGTTGGTGCGAGGAAATGTTGGTAGTCGCTTCCTATGCAGAGGGTTCTTTGTTCGAGGTCTTGGGTCGAGGGCAGCGTTCACGAGCGATGGAATACCGTCAATCTCTCAGCTGATTCGGCAAATGGAGCTCGTGTTGGGTGACGTTGGAGTTGGTATTACTGTTGCAGTTGAATGGGTCGAGGATGGGGGGCTTTTGTTGGTAGGGAAATAGAGAGAGTGGAGATTGTGCATGATCCATGGAGAAGTTGGGTCTGCCCTGTTGTGTGACGTTGCTCCTGGTGTTGTGGATCATTGCACGTCCCAGCGCAGGACAAACGCCCGAAGAGCAAGAGAGATTTTTAGATGATAAAGAGAAGAAAGTGCGTCTCCTCGCCCAGCATGCTCTGTTCCTGCAGCTTGCGGCAGAGTCGACCGACTGCGGTAATCGTGTACATTGCCAGCTCTTGGGATCAGTTTGCCCATTCCTTCTTTCTCAGAAAATGGAAGAATTCCTTTCGTAGATTTTCTATGTACAGACGGCCTTGTATAATAATCGTTGGATGGTGGTCTCCTGAAGTCGATGACGTTTTTCCTCTGTGCTCGTTAAAGTGAAGCTGTAGTTTCGGTCAGGATGGTGGGAGTATCTTATGGTGAATTCGAACGCTTTCTACTACGATCAAAGCGATTGTGTTTTCTTTTTTACTTTTTACTTTTATTCACTTCGGAATTAGTTGGACGTGCAGGTTTGTCGAATTGCGTTGACAAATGCTCCCGTCATTCGTGTTTGCCAACGCTGAAAGATCATTTTACATGTGTTCAAGCCCCCAGAAACGTTACAGATTGTCGGAGCTCCGGCAACAGCAGTGGGGCGTGCTTGCACATGAACGTAGACTTCACCAGAAATGGGTTTGTGCGGTGAGTCGATTTTTTCTCTTCCCGGATTGTGATAGAACTGGGTCTAGGAGGAGACTTCCAACACAACTCAAAGGATCATCTGATTATTTGATTTCAACCCGAACATGCTGGCTCGTGTAAGTCTGTAGCAATCGGTGCTCTACTTCTTTTGTAACCCAGCTTGCAGGTGCCGATCGCAGATGCTGGGTTTTCCTAAATCGAAAGCAAGTGAATTAACAAATGTTTCATGATAGCTCAATGAACCTGAGGTCTACTTTAGTCAATTTGGTTTAAGGGATTTGAGCGAAGTTGGAGGAATTGCTGTGAGAAGTAGAAAGCTTAGCAATCTTTGAGGCGTTTGAGGAAGATCGTAGCAGATATGGAGGTTGTGGTCAGGAAAGCCGTGAACTTAAGTCCTAAAAGTAGGAATGCTTTTTTATTGTTGTGGATTTGGTGCAGTGTGGACTTCTACAACATGACACTCCATTATGTGGACATGACCTTGTCATCCCTTTCTTTGAGTTGCGTTGTCATCCACGCTCAGGTGATTTTTTCGCTAATACCCTCCTGGGGATTCTCTTTTTCGGTTGCAGCGTTCCTCCACAATTCCGAGATTATTCAAATCTGAGTCCAGAGCTAACGAGAGCAATCTGCTCTCAGTCGAACCTTCAATTCCCTGCCAGCAGTGAATCCATTTTTAACGAACTTACCTTTTGGAATTACTTTGGATCTGCGGAAGGAGCATGGCGTACTTATCCTGGCCGGGTAATGTTGTTTTGGGCCATCACTAGTTTGAACTTCTTTCCCCTCAGGAATTCTTGTTTACAGAGTTTATGTCCATCCATGAGGAAATACTGTGTTCGTAATCCTTGAAGAGTGAATCAATGCAGGTGCAAGTACTAAAGTTGTTAGATCGATTTCTTTCAAACAGGAAGCTGATCCTGAGAAAGGTTGCATCGAGTACGACCCTCGCAAACGGCCCTGGTAATGTAATGTTAAGTGTCTGCTGGTGAATTCGTGCAGTTTGGCATCACTTTGTCGTGTTATTTAAGAAAGGGTTTATCTCTATGGAACCGAGGTTGCGCATCTTGTAGAAATATTGTTGTGTTTTGTAATTGTTTGGAGGTGCACTATTTTTCTCTGCCGGCTGACTGTGAGGGAGAATTGAGAGTTATTTGCTTTTTGGGAAGGGATTTTGGGTTATGTTCTTATTCGCAGTCCGCAAACATTGCGTTTCAATCATATGTATGTTTCATTGAATCATTGAATTCGTCTCTCCCTAAATATAAAAGAGCTGCCCTTTGCAGGTATATATCAGCAATATCTGTTGTCAAGGATCTGGTAGTGCTTCTAGACACAGGGCAAGTAAACGGTTCCACTTTCACAAACACGAAGACTGTCATCCATGAGTTATTTGGCACTTTCAGGCCCGATGATCGCATCAACCTGGTTACGTTCAACTCCACAAGTGCTACTCTACTGCAATCAACCTCCGTAATTCCTAAATCTCTGACGCCCTTGCTGTCCTGCTTATGGCGTTAATCGATTCTGACTATTACTTTTGTAGAAGCAACTCGTGCTTGTTCCATGGAATTCACACTCCTCTGCTGTCCGTGCAATTGCAGGTAATTGTAAAAAAGGATGAACCTGTTAACCAGCTTTACAACACTTTCAAAATTCCTTCACTGTTAAATACTCCTTACGGATTCTCAAACATAACTCGAGGATTTGCGACAGCTAGAACAGCCTTCAACTCGACCAGCTTACTCAAGGTACATGTCCTAGTGTATTTAAATCAACTGTGTGTACCTTAGGATGGATTTCATTGAAACAGTTGCTGTTGTTGAAGTCACAGATATGTTTTTTTTCTTGCTCATGAATTTGCTTTCTTGATCCGTCTTGGATAGATGATCGTGGTGCTGACCGATGGAAACTTCGCAAGAAGTCCTGGATTCAACAATGACACTGCACTCCAACAGATGGTTGCATCCCTCAGCTTGGTCAACGTTATTGTGTTCTTCTTCAATTTAGGAGCAAATACTGTTCCTGACCCACTTCGTGAGCTTCGGAATTTATCTTGTCAGATGAATAGTACGGTCACGTATGTTAGTCCTGTAGATGCTCAACGGAATCCGCTTTGGGCCTTACGCCCTTTTTTTGATTACCAAGCCACGTTGAGACAGACAGTCAACAATAGTTTCTGGATCGAACCCTACGAAGACTTTGATGGATTAGGCCTTGTTGCCACTGTCACAAATCCAGGTCAGTTTACATACTCCGATGTTTGATAATCCTCTGCGTAATGTTCATTCCGTCTTCAAGGTGTCGAGCCTTCTTTGAAGTACTTGATATTGCATTTGACGTTCTTATTGTCTGTCTTGTCTTGTTCAGTTATGCACGAAGGAATTCTTTATGGAGTAGCAGGTATAGATGTTGTTGTGAAATCAGATGTTTCTAACGCCATCAAGCGGAGAGTGGTAGATGGCAACGTTGGCCCGCTTCCACTGGTTTGTCAACCAACTCAGGTTCGAATTACAATTTGAACCACCTTGATAAATTTGAGTGCATTGCTACAATGATAGTCTTAGCTATTGGTTTTACTATGAATTTGTCTTGCTCTTGTGCTCTCTATTTTTTTACCCAACCTGGAGCATTTCTGAACCAGTTGCAACTTGAATTTAACAGGTCAACCTTACCAAGTGTACCAAGCCAGTGGGACCAGAAGATAAAGCAATCTGCCCGCAGAGCATGTACCTGAACGATCCGCCCACAGAAGTTTATTTAAAGAACTTATGCTGTAATAACTGTGTCTTCCAGGGACCTCCCCAGAAAGACATTACAATGACGTTGTTAGCCGCGATCATCCCTGCCCTCCTCGTTCTCATCATCATTATTTTCGCCTACTTTATTTTGAAGCGAAGAGCTGCTCGGTCCATCATTCGAGAAACTAAAGAAGGCAGGAACACGAGAACTTTAATCTTCTCTTTTATGGATTGAGTTTCAGAGTCTGATTGCCTTACCGATTGTACCGCACCAATCCATGTAATCTAAATCAACGTTCCTTTAAAAGTGCTATTAAATTTTTACTTAATTTTTTTCTTTTTCGGGGTGGGGTACAGATTTTGCAAGGCAATCCATTGCAACGAATCAATACAGCTACAAGGAGCTGAAAGCATGTACGCAAAAGTTTCATGAGGACAAAAAGCTAGGTGAAGGTGGCTTCGGAGAAGTCTATCAGGTTAGGCACCTGACAAATTATCAACAAAAGTTGCGTAGTCAAATATTCAAATACAGAAAGTTCAGTATTGAACGATGCTGTTCCAAGTACTTCGATTAGATGACGCAAACACCAATGGAACTTCTACAATTGCATGCGGTGTTTTACTGCTAGAGAGATTTTCTGTACTTATTTTCTCGAGCTTAACTTGGGTTTCATATTATCAGGGGAAGTTGAAAGACGGCTCACTGGTCGCCGTGAAGAAGCTATCTGAGAATTCAAAACAAGGAGCTCGTGAGTTCCTAAATGAGGTGATGGTCATTAGCAGAGTCCAGCATCGAAACCTTGTCAAGCTGCGGGGATGTTGCGTGGAGGGGCGTCATAGGCTGCTGGTCTACGAGTTTCAAGAGAACAGAAGCCTTCGTCAGGCAATACTTGGTGAGCCAGTGTCCTGCTTGCAATTTTATATGTATCCCTCAAAGGTTAAGGAAGGCTCCAGCCTCAAGTGCTCACCGTACTTTCGACATAATCCAGACTCTGTGCCTCTGACAGGTGGTCCTAATGAAGCTATTGATGTTAATTGGGAAACCCGCTTCAACATAGCCTTGGGGACGGCACGAGGTCTGGCCTATCTCCATAACGAAATCACCCCTCGAATCATTCACAGAGACATAAAAGCTAGCAATGTTCTGTTGGACCGCAATCTGGAAGCCAAAATTGCTGACTTTGGGTTGGCTAAGTTGTTTCCAGAGGAACAGTCTCATTTCACCACCAACGTTGCCGGCACATTGTACGTCAATTTTTCTTTTCCATCCATGATACATTTGAAGTTCTATTTCACCTGAACGTGAAAGATCCAACTTAGTGCACAAAGCTGTTTGTGTATCGTAGAGAGGGCTTGAAGGACATATACCTGATTGGCTGATTGGCTGACATTGCAGAGGATATGTTGCCCCCGAGTATGGGACGCGAGGTCAGCTAACGGAGAAGGTGGACGTATTTAGCTACGGCGTAGTATTGATGGAAATTGTGACTGGTGAGCTTAACAGGAAGCGCACTCCTTCAGGATCGTTGCTTTTCCTCGTTGACAGAGTAAGCCTCTCTTCTTAGAAGCTTGAGCGTGCGAGTCTCTTACATTTATCTTTTTATTCTGTGTTCATTTGGTTGGACTATGAATTTGTGATATCAGCTGACAAGACCCAGGCTGCGAATTCATTGCCAGGTCAGGTGCATGTACAAAATGTCGCGAACATCACATGACGAGCAGGTTTTGGTGAATCTCTTGGATTCAAGGTTAGATGAAAATTTTGACACTAAGCAGGTCCTGAGGGTTTTGAAGACTGCCCTCCTGTGCACATTGGACACGCCGGAGGCGCGACCCACAACTCCCCATATCATCACAATGCTCTTGGGTAGTGAACCTATTGACGAAGATCTCCTGCTACCCCTTGTAAAACTAGAGTATTCTAAATCTTTGCACGCTGTAGACTATGGATTGAATGAGGAATGGTCTGGGAGCGATGAACCACCTCTTCTTAGTGAAGTTTCATCAAGACGTTAAAACTGAGTAGAGGATGACTTCTACTAGTTAAATCTATAAACCCTAAATATATCTTCTAAGTGTACGAAAAAAGATTGGAGGCGGTAGTGACCTGTTCCACCTCGGACCTATAGAAAAGACACATTTGATTTGGATTCCCGTATTGTTTAACCTCCGCAATTTCCCTTTGGAAGGACGGGGTCGGCATTCAACTCAATTGTTTCAGAATGCATATGTATTACAACAAATTCCACTCGCCAAAATCATTGCAATACAAACTACATCTACTCGGTTCGTTTTGACAATTAAGAACGTCGCCAACACTTAAGTTGTTACATTCTCCTAAACGAGTTTCAATTATATCTTTTTTCTTGATTTCTCTATTGTCAACATTCTCAGGGAACTCTCATTCTCAATACCATTTGAAGAAAATGAAAACTGGTATGGTTTCTGGTACACATTCATTCCAGTAACACCGTCGATGCGTACTCAACTTCTTGAGCTGCTATGGCTGTCTTCTAACTAATTTCGTTGATCAAGGAGACAACTGTAGGTAGAAATTCCCGTACACAATTTCAATGTCAGGCCGTTACAAGTTCCATACGTCTCTTAAAACCAGTCACACGTTGTCTAATTGGGTCGGAGCCAAGAGAAAGGAACCAAGCAAATGATTGCTACAAGTTCAGTTCAATAACTACTGCCACTATTTGTTGTAATAATCCCAAAAGTACAAAAATACATATGTGAGACAATCTCAAACTCCAAAAAGTCAAGTACGCTACAGCACCAAACTTTTACTTCTTCGGTTGTTGATCAAATGTGTGTTTGGGAACAACTGAGTATCTTGTCAAAGATACAAAAAAACACTCAAACAACTTGACTGTTATGAAATACAAAATAGATATGAGAATACTAAAACAGAACAAAGCAAAACTAAAACCAAATCATCAAGCCCATTAAAAGCTGTAAGATAGCTTAGAGGAGTGGACAGTCAAATTCACAATCCTCACATTCGTGGAAAAACAATGGGCCCAGGATATCTGCCTAAACACATAAATAATCGTCATATCAAAAATTATTTACAGAAAGTGTCCAATGCCTGAATGAAAAAAGAAATTACACATGTACAAGAGAGTAATAAATGACAAGTTCGGGAAATCTCAAAATTCTGCAATAATAACCTCTCAACAACCGCATGCACCGCCGGCTGCAGGAGATGGCAAATCCGCGGTCTCCCCAGGTCTGAGCACATTCTTCTTCAGCTGCGCAACATTGTCAATCAAGCTCGGAGTATCCAAAATCTTCTGCACGAGCTCATCGAAGCACCGCTGCACGTTGATGCTCGTCTTAGCACTAGCCTCCAAGAACAGACACCCGTGCTGCCGGGCAAATGCAATCCCTTCCTTCTTGGTCACCACTCGCTCCCGCTCCTCCAAGTCCACCTTGTTCCCTATCAGCATCTTGATACAGTCCGGCTTCGTGGAGAAACGGTCCACCTCCTTCAACCAGATGTCCGACAAATCCGTGAACGTCGCCCGTCGGGAGACATCATACACAAGAATGATACCTTGCGCCCCCCTGTAATACGAGCTCGTCAGGGTTCTGAATCTCTCTTGCCCCGCAGTGTCCCAGATCGTCAGCTTCAACCTCTTTCCCCCGAGCGTCATCATTTTCACCTTAAAATCCACCCCTATTGTTGGCGATAGATCATCAAACGTGTCGGCCGTAAACCGAAGCAGCAAGCTGCTCTTCCCCACCCCTGAATCCCCTATCAACAATACCTTGAACAGGTGATCAAACTCCCCTCCCGATGCCGCCATCGCCATCAAAATCTCTTCCGAACTCCCTGAACCTTCTCAAAACCTTTTCTTAAGCTTCAAATTCCCACAGCAGCTCCACAATTCGCAGACTCCTTATGCGAAACCCGCTCCAACGCTTCTGCGACAGCAAATACCTTACCCTAAATCACACAATCTGTGCCAAATTCGCGCAAATTTTACACCGAGTCAGAAATGAAGACTCACTCCGTACACTCGTGAGTCGTCGCGAAAGCAAATCCCTCGCGAACAGCGATGCTAATCCTCGCTGGAAGCTTGGCGACGTCGTCGAAGCTCAAAGCAGAGCAAGGAGGAAGCATGAATGCACTAGAATGGAAGGGAGGGGTGATTAGTGAGTTCGCCACAGCAATGTACTAAACCTTTCCGTCGTAAGACCAACACGTCGGCGTCTGACTTCGTCATGACTCGAACGATCGTCTTAAACAATCGTCGAGAGTGCCGGTCAGCGGAATAAGGAAACAAGAAGAAATTTTAGGCGAGGTCCGTTGCTTTTTTATGGCCTTAAAAAGTCTGATCCGTTGGATCCGGAGCGTGGCGATCTAAGCACGTCCCCTGAGAATTCATAGTTTAAGATAGAGCGGATACTACGGAGGTGTCAACAGTGCCACGCGTGCTCAGTAACCCTGCACACATGGCATTGGTTATCTCCTACGTGGCGCCCGGAGCAGTCCAGCTTGGCTTTTAACAAGCGGCTCCCATTGCCGTGTAGATGTTCGTTGGGACCCACGGGAAGTCAGCCTTGGTCAAGGAAACCGTGAGAAAAGGGCATTTATGGAATGAAATTGGATAAACTGATATTATTTGGAAAAAAATGAACATTGGCGTATCATCACTTTTAATAAATTTGTACTCTCAACCAAAAAATAATATTTTTAAGCTAGTAGAAACTTACGTAAATAGTGGATAGACAGTCTGTGACTTCAGCATTGATAATTTTGTCCTTTTTTCTTTTTCTTTTTTTTCACACGAATTAAAGTATAAAAAACATATATTAATGATAGGTATACAAACTACACTATAAGAAACAGAAAAAATTGTATTCAAATATTGACTAGTAAATACAATTCATGTCTTTTTAAAGGATTTCAACACAAATAAATATTGATAAATTATTTAAATATCATATATATATATTTATTTAATCATTTAAATATCATTGATATATATAAATATATATATATATATATATCATATCAAATATATATCAAATATTAATAAATTATTTACTATTTCAGTGTTATTTTTACATGTTGGAATTTTTATTTTCAATGTTCATATTTTGATATGATTATTTTAGTATGTAAAAAATAATAATAAAGTATTGTAATAATTTTATATTATTATTTCCCAAATTTTCAAGTTTATTTATTATCTACCATCAAGGCTACTATCTTTGAGTCATTCAATACTTGAAATATGTGTAGTATTAAAAAATAATATTAAATTAAAACTACAAATAATTATTTAAATAAACTAAAAAATTAAACCTAAAAAAATATATTTTTATTTTAGATGTTTAAAATTTATAAAATTTTATAAACTCAATTATATATATATATATATATATATATATATATACTAGTATAAAAACATAGTTATTAGCTATTAGTAACTTAATTATTTTTTTTAAATAAAATTTTAGAATTCAAGTTTAGTTATGATAAGTTACCATCATGAATTTGAAGAATTTATATTGATTTTTTTTATTATTTATATATTCCTATATAATTATAAATAAATTAAATAATCTAATTAATTTTATTTCACAAAATCTCAATGAAAAGTTGATTTGAAATATTACATATATATATATATATATATATATATATAAGAAAATTTTATTTTAAAATCTACTATTTTATTTAATATAGTCAAAGAATGTAGGTGGCATAGAGTAGATTATAAGTTGTGGTGGCAATAGCCAAATATATAGTGACATGTAACAAATGGCAAATTGTGGTGGTAGTAGGAAAAATTGTCAAAGTATTATTAATACCATATAAAAATTACAAATCAAAATAATGTATGTTGATTATATATTAATGTAATTATCATTAATTTATTATAAAGACTTAAATTTTACCTTATAATTATGTTTATATTTTTATGCTATCATAAAAGAAAAAATATTTATGGTCAAAATATAATATAAATATGTAAGAATAAAATTGATTTTTCAATCCAAATTACAAAAAGACCTCAAATAAGAGTTTGCATGTAATTGGTGGTGTGAAGTGAGGCAAAATTAACAAGAAATAAAGAAGAATAAGAACAAAACAAGTCAAAGAAATACAATCAATAATTATTCACTAAAAAAAAACCATTCATAGTTTGTTTTTTAGATTTACATTTAAAAATAAAATAAAGTAAAAAAATTAACATTAAATTTATAGGTAGATAATTTTTTACGTCTCTTATGACATAGAGAACCTTAAATTCTAAGTAACTACGATTAAGTTATGATAATTTTAAGATAGAAGTTAAAAAAATAAAATAATAAAGTGAGTATATTAACTTACTTAAGGAATTGAAGGTTTGAGCCTCACCAAGACTTACAAGTAAAGTATATGGGTGTTCTATAAAGGCTTTAGTCTTATATTTGTACCTAAATTTAAGGTGCTACAACCAATATAGAATATGTGCAATTCTATTCCTATAATTACTATATTAACTTTTGGTCTTCATATTTTTTATTAATAAGAATATATATATATATATATATATATATATATATATATATATTGAGTACAATGTAGTATTTTTATACACTCAATTAGCCTAAAGACCTTGGTGGGCCTTCAAATCTTGTTTGAATTCTTCTTAATAGCATCCCAAAGTGTTAAAATATATATATATATATATATATATATATATATATATATGTTTTATAAATATATTAAAAAATCAATTTAAATATTTTAAAATAAATTCTAAATATAGTCTAAATATATTATAATATTTCTATAATTTTAATTTCAATTTAAAGCTATGTTATCCTATATTGTTGATTTTACATAGTAATAAAAGAAATTTAAGTCAATTAAAAATATTATTTTTTACATAATTAACTAAAAAGACATAAGATTTATTATTATACTTCTTCTATCAATTAAATAACATTTAGAGTTATATATATATATATACATTTAGATATAAGCCTAATGTAGACATTGAGCTCAATAAGTAAATGGTAGTTCTCACCATGAAGGAAAAAAAACTAAATTAATTAAGGTAATTGTCTCTAAGACTTAATAAGGCTATTTTTATGATTTATTTTCTAATTAAATTTTGGTGACTTATGAACCCTTTTAAATTATAATAGATACTCAAATAATCAAATAAAATATCTAATATAGATATTCAATTTTTAATATAAGCGATAGCTAATGAAAAAAAATATATTTTAAAAGAAAATTAATTGTTGTGTTAAAAAATTATAGAAGTAGATTTTTTTTGTAAAATAAATAAATATATCAACATAATTTTTTAATATTTTTTAAAAAATATATTATATTTATTTTTAGAATAATATCTATACTTTTTTAAATACCATCAAAGTATGTTTATAATTAAATATAAATTAAATTTTATCACATTCTTATAATAATTAAAAAATAATTATAAGAATATTTCTTATATTCTTTGATAAATGAGATTTTAATAGTATTATAAAACTTAATAGTTAAAATTAAATAATATTAATTCTATATTTAAAATAAATATTATTTAGATATAAATAAATAAAATGTAAAATATGTTCACATCATAAGTTTGTTTATTAATTAGATTTGATAAAAATAAATTTTTATATATTATTTTATGAAAATAAAATATAATCAATTATAGAAATAAAATCATAATCATTTTTAAACCAATTTAAAAAATATTTAGTTCTTTTAGTTTAGATTTTTTAAAAAATATCTATTTAATTTATTTGGATATTTAGAATCTAGATTTTAACAATTTTACCTTGACATGTAGATACAATATTAATTAGACATTCATAAATTTGTACAAAAGTTGGAAAAGAACATCTTGTACAATCATGATCATGAATACTCTCTCATATCATTCAACAACTTCATTTCTCATTATCCACATATTAGTTAGTCTTTTTATTAAATAAGCATTTGTACATAGTCATTATATACTTCATTATATCTACAATGTACCTGTAAATAGTAATAAAGGCACAATGATTTGAATAGGATAAAATGCACATATTATAGTTTTTGTTGTATTATAACTCAACTATATGATAAAAATATAATCAAAAATAAATTTTAATTAATATCTAATCATCTTAGTTTAATAATAATTCAAGATATTTAAACATGGCTTTTGTAAAAGCCTCTTAGTTTATTTTCTTGTCTTAATAGCTGATAAATTAAAAGTTGGTGATTTTACCTCCTAGGCTGTAGAAACTTTTTTACCGCCTTAGAAAGGCCATAAATTGATAAAATTAGGTTAAAAGAGGTAAATAATTAGCATGGTTGATACTAGGATTAAGTTGAAGGTAGGATTGGGCTAAAGAATCCTATGATATTTTAGATTGATATCCGGGGATCAACCATTTGTGGGACAAGGTCAAAATCAGACTTTTAGCCACTAAAATGATTGCCTAGGATAAAGTAGGAAGGCCTTCAAAGATCAGCAATTAGGATTTGGGAGCTAGCTTCAAGCTAATTCCAAAAATGTAAGGCTTCTTTTCAAAGGATTTGAAATGACTTTGCTATTGTTATTCAAAATCAAGATTTGTATCAGTGATTTGGAATTTATATAATACAATTAGAGCTAGCACTCTTTGCTAGTTTGTGCAATTGGTATTACTTATGTAGTTCAAAATTTAATAATAACTGATTGATTGAGTATGCTAAGTATATATAAAATTTTGTATTAATCTAATAGTGCAATTGGAAGATATCTAGGTTTTGATATAAGAGATTATTAAAAGTTGGCAGTTTAGAGTTGGGTAGGATTTCTATGATATTTAGAGATCTACTAGTCAAATCAAGGTGAAATTTGGCTTAGTGATAGAAGACTTCAATGTCAAGCTATACATTGATTTTTAATTGAAATTAACAATTAAAAAAGGAGAAATTGCTACTAGAATATTTGCATCAACTTTCAAGTTTGCAGGCAAGTGACATCAATGTAATTTTTGGGCTTTTTTTCACAATTTGTATATTGGATTGGATTGAATTTTTTTTGAATATATAAAAGGCTTATAATTGCATTTGTATGAAAAATTTTGAACTAAGTGGACGATCAAATTAGGAATTATAGCTTGCCAAAATTCATTGACTAGAATTAGGACATGTAAGGAGAAATCAAAATTCTCTAATTATGAAAGTAATATGGCAATTGAGATTTATGTATA